CTCTCTCTCTCTGTCTGTCTCGCATACGCCCAAACACATCACGCTCGGTTGGTGAGGGCCGGGCAGCACCGCCGTGATTTTGGCCAGAAGATCAAATCACTAACGCAGCCGTGCCCCGCCAAATTTAGGATGATGTACGATCAGAACCAAAAGGCCATGGGGAAGCCGACGAGCGACGACCAAAAGAAGGACGACATTCTGAAAAAGTTCATGAAGGAGCATCCCGAGATGGACTTTTCGAACGCAAAGATCGGATGAGACACGAGCGGCGAGCGAGCGAACCGGAAGATATCTGATGGGAGATTGGGAATGACAATGACGACTTGGTGGACAGCTCCCCCGATTTCCTGTTCCCTGTTCCCCGTGTACAAATTGAATGGATGATGCTATTTGGGACGTTATAGAACTCTACGATTTACGAGTAAAACAAACGGAATGAAAGCTACAGCATAGTCAAGGAGTTTCGACAGGCGGGTCGGTCGTCAATAGCGTCGGCAGCATTCCTCGGACCGAACGGTATGAAAACAATCAAGCTTGATACCATCAATAACGCATGCTACGAAGCTCTAAGAAATGTGGTCGAGGGAGTTGTTCCTGTCATAGCTTCTCGTCTCCAGAGCCCTCCTCATCCTTTCCAGGAGTTACAGCTCGTCCCGCTTGCCTGCTCCTCCAGCCTCTCTCAACCGCCACATCTGAATCCCATGTCTCGGCACCTCAGCCTGCAACATCCCACCGCCTTGAACAGTCCCAGCCGGCGTGCCAATCAAGAGGGGGTTGCTCTGATTCAGCCCCGTGGCCCAAGTTGTCTCGCTGGCATTATAGTACCCCGTCGCGTTTCCCACCGCAAGCGTGCCGTTCAATATCTGGGCTGCCACTTCGGTGCTCATGACCGTCTGGTTGCCCCAGACATCGAACAGATCCCAACTCTTTTGGGCATTCGTGTTTGTGCGCAGGCCGCCAAAGACGTCGACAAGGCTGTAGGACATTGAGCGCGAGATGTTGCCGGCGTTGAGGAAGGCGACCACCTGGTCGCCATTGCTCAGGCTTCCCTGCCACACGTGAACCTCTCCGAACCCCCACGCGTCCTTGTCGTCGACCTGTTGCCTGACTGTCCGTGAAACGGCGCTGACACTGGGGTCCTGTGATATGGCCAACACGGCTGGGTTGATGAGGATCGCGTAATCTTCCGGAGACAGTTGGTCGAGTTTGTTCCCCATGATCAATGGAGACTTGATGGCGGCCCACATGCTAAAGTGTACTTTGTATTCGTCGTAGGACATGCCGCCGTTTCCAACCTCGAGCATGTCGAGGTCGTTGTAGTATCCCGCTTGGGTTTTGCTGCGGATGGAGCTCGCCTTGCCAAGAATGTTCATGACCGAGCAGCCATAGCCAGGCAGCTGGCAGTAGTACTCGTCGGGACCACACGGGCACGACGTCGTAGGCATGGAAAAGCTGTCCTGGATGTCGCCCGAGATGCGGGCACTGTTGGCGATGGTGGACGCCCACTCCCTATTGCCGTGATCAGTCTGGGATCGGCCTAATCGCCTCGTGAAAGGAAGAACTTACCACGGTTTGTCGTCTCCCCAGTTACACAGCGAATACACAAAGTCCCGACCTGTACCGTTCAACGCGTTCGACATGGCGGCGTAGCGATCTTGGCTCAGCTTCGGCGTGCCCGAGAGGCCTTCGTTGTAGCAGTTGTCGTATTTCAGATAGTCTGCACCAATGCTCGCCCACCATGCGGCATCCTGAGTCTCGTACCCCAGGCTTCCAGGGTATCCTCCGCAAGCTGTCGAATTCAAGAAAAAATTTGGTCAGTGCCAGGAGACGCGTGACAAAAAGGCGGGCGACAAACTGTATTTGCCCGCACTGCTGTACACGCCAAAATACAGTCCATAGTCGTGCAGTTGATTGGCAATGTTCTGAAGGCCCGAGGGGAATTTGGCAGCGTTTGCAGTCAAGGTGCCATCCGCACTGCGATTGAGCTCCGTCATGGCATCATCGAAGATGACGACGCGGTAGCCCAGATCACGGAAACCGAGGGAGACCAGGCGCTCGGCGTTGGTGAGGATTGTGGACTCGTTGTATGCGAGGCCATAAGCGTTGTATGTGTCCTGTCACGAGCCAGTGGTCAACATATATTCAGCGTTAATCGAGTGCCGACAGGGGCCTTACCCAGCCCATTTGAGGCGTTTGAGCGAAGCCATTGTAGCTCAGGCTTGCCGCCCTCACGTTCTGCAGAAGCAGCGCAAGAACCAGTGAGCTGCTCCTGGCGGTGAACGACCCGAACTTGGAAGGCATTGTGGTTCCACAGAAAATGCAAGTCAAGTGAGCAGCGAACAGGAAAAGATGGAAGTGGTGAGAGGAAGGCAGCACCGGGAGGTGTCGTTATAACAATTCATAGTATTCTGCATGCACGCCCGTGGGATATGTTACATTTGCCCGCTTGAGCTGACGGCTATTGAACTGGTAGAGTTCCATTGAATGTTGGATCAACACTGACTCTTCCCCGCATTGTGTGTCGAGGAGACTGTAATTCAAAGGCTGAAAACGGCGATCTGCAGACTCATGACGCCACAGCACATCTCCTGCTGTGCTTTGCTGGTCTTTGCTGTACCTTGCCATGCAGTGCGTGCCTCGCTGTGCCTTGCAGATCTATTCCGGCGAGCAAGCGGAGATGTGCTTGTCCGCTCGCTCCGTGTTGATGCGGGTTGTACTGTGAACTCGGTACAATATACGCCGGTCCAAATGTCTGTCATGTCTGCAAAATCATCTCTCAGTTGTTGCAAGAATACATCTCGTCCATGTCCAGGAAAACGCCTTGTTGTGGAAAAGAAATAGCTTCCGTTGTTGGCCTCACGTTGGCCTCTTGAACCCCATCATAGCCAAATTAATGTCAGGTGGTGGCGGCCTTTGTCGAGCCTTTGACGGGTCCATCCCAAGAGTGTCGCCGTCGGTTTCGAGGTCACCCTCTTCGTAGATACTGGCGGGTTCATCGGTGCTGAAGAAGCCGTCCCATAATCCCTTCTTGCACACCAGCGCTCCGACCAGCACAAGAGGAAGCTGCCACACACTCGCCCAGAAGAGCCCCCTGGCACTTCCCCCCGCACCTTGGTGTTTCCAGAAGCGGAACGCCTCCCGAGTCATCCAGACATTACATGCCGTGCTGATGACGAGGAAGCCTTTGTCCACATATCCCGTAAAATAGAGCAGCGCGCATATGGGGAACATGGCCAAGGAGTACCTCAAAGCAACACGTCCGTTTCGAGCAGGATTCGTCCAGGCCAGCATTTTGTGGCCGGCATTTCGATAGTCTTCTCGAATGGTGTGTGACAAGGACATGAAATGAGGAAACTGCCAGGCAAACAAGAGGGCTGCCAATGCCCAGCCTCCTATCGAGTTCTCCGAAAAGAGTAGATCTTGCCATGAATGGTGTTCGGACGTGGCAGCTTCGCCCGCAGCGGCGCACCAACCCATCAGAGGAGGAATTCCGCCCACAATGGCCCCCACCCACGTGTTTGCCGCTGAGATTCTTTTCATTGGGGTGTAGACCCCAGCGTACAGGAAGATATTGAGAGCCGACAATCCCGCCACAGTTGGGTTGGTACCCAGGCCGAGTAGAAGCAGGCCAGACGCACCACAGACCAAGGCAAACACGGCGGCTGCCCGTGGAGAGACCAGCTTTCTCACAAGAGGCCGATTCCGGGTGCGAGTCATGAGAGCGTCGTATTTGGGCTCGAAAAGCATGTTGAGGGTGTTGGCACAGGCGCAGGACAAAAAGGTGCCAGAAGTGAGGAACAGTAATGTCAAGGTCGAAGTGGAAAGGGATGAAGTTGCCGACGAGGACGTGGAAGACAGGATTTCAGGGAGTGGATATAGACTATATGCCGACGTGGTCGAGAGTAGGATCAGGAAGGATAGTCGTGGTTTGGTCAGAGAGAGGAAGGTGGCCAGCCTGCGTCGGAAGACGGCTGACTTGGGCATTGCGGTGGCAGCAGTCGTCAATTGGGATGAAGCGTCCAACGGAAGAGATTCCTCGGGCGCATTCTCGGTGTTCTTTCGTCTCTTCCGTCTTCTGTGTGGGAGTACATCTGCCTCTGGTTCACCACCCTCCACAGCTTTGCTAGCTTCCGGACCAGTTTGAGCGCTCTGATTTTCTTGACTCGGAGGCTCTGCCTTGAAAGACAGAGCCTTTTCCAGTTCTCCTTGTGTCCGCATCCGTGTGACTTCGCCAGACACATCATTTTCCCTTCGTCCTGTCGGTTCCGCAACAGTGCGTACCGCAGCCAGCATCCCATTCTTGATCCATCCTCTCTCAATCGACGTGTTGGCCGAGAAATAGTCGTCCACAAAGCTCTGTGACTGGGCAATTGCGCTTCTCGAGGGTCTTTCACCTGGGATTATGCCACTGTGGAGCTTCCGGTTTGCTTGCAGGACAGATCTCAAGGTGCTGTGCGGTCGCAACGGTTGACGAAGACATCGTGCGATGCAGCTTGAACAGACGCGATAGCCAGATCCGGACAATCGGCCTGCTGCCGGAGCAGCAGCCATAACGGCGGTGATCTAAGCTGGCGGGAATCGTAGGGGGTTCATTGAACTACACGGGGTGGTGTGAAGAGTGAAGAGCGAAAGTCCAACTTTCCAAGAAGCTTGGAGTGCGGAGTTTGAATCTGTCCCTCATCAACTGACCACTCGCGTCCACAACATTACTACAAACTCCAAAGTCGACGATATGGCTGAGCTCACGACAGATCAGGTCAGATCCTTGGATCAAACGCGTCAAAGACTCTTAGCTCTCCATAAGTCCCTGGTCGCTCTGGGATCGGAGCTCGTGACTCAAAACCAACTTCCCGCCTGGTAGAGACGCTTCTTCTTCCAACTGGCTCTCGCTAACTGCATCACAGGCCAGCCCTCCAACTACATGCAAACCTCGTCTCTAACAACCTACAGACCATTGTCTCTCAACTAGCGGAGAATCGGGACACATATCAGTCTACCGTTGCCTTTCCCACACCCAAATTTCCAGGGGCTCAACGAGCCTTCATTCTCGAGACCCTCCTTCGAACAAAGCTAGAACCCAATGTGGAAGAGTGGGTGGAAGAGGGGGAGAACATCAATGCACAACAGCACAAAGCCACGTTTCGAGGGCTGTCGGACAATGACCGCAACGGTCTGTGGCAATGGGCACCTGGAGCGGCCAATGCTGCAGCTCGGAAACAGAAATGGGGTGCCGACTTCACTTTGGACGAGAAGCAGAAAGGCGTAGAGAAGGTATCCACGGGGCTACGCAGGGAACTGGTCGAACCTGCTGATGACGAGGGCGATGATGGGCCTGAAGAAGAGGAAGAATACGAGGTCAGCGATGAGGAGGGCGAGGACGAGGATGCAGACAAGATGGACGTCGAACAACAAGCACCAAAGGTTGAGGCCAACACAGCGTCCACAGAAACGAGATCTGCTTTGCCAACCGCCAGTCAGCTGAGTTTGGAAGCGTTGCACAAATTCATGACCACTGGACGGTGACCACCACCTGGGTATATTATGACTTTATTCGAGGGCTGCCGGGTCTCAGGGCACAGTGTATGTCCAACTGGAAACCCCATCTTTGCGTCCAAGATCAGGCTCAGTCGCTCCGTGCTCGGGCGCACCTATGTTTGAATCGTGCACCCAGAGGAAATTGACCCAATCGCCGTCATCCTTTTCCAAGTTGATATCGCGGTGCAATCTCCATTCGACTTTCACCTCGACGGTCGGCAACGACGATTTGAGGGTCTGCTCGAATTGCCATCTCTCGTTCGCAGCGAGCTGCTTTGCCACCAATAGACTGGACTCAACGACAATGGTCAATTTCCTCAGGGATTCAAGAAAGGCTAGACCCTCGGTGACCCACGCGGCCGTCCACGCGAATGCAGTGGAAGGACGTTCTTGAGAGAAAGGCGCGACCATCAACATGTGCAGCAACCCTACCATTGAGTCCGCCTGTGCCAACAGCAGGTCTCGGGTGGTCATATGGACCGACAATTCTCTCAAGCTGGTATCCGAGTCCTTTTCTGGCCTTTTGTCGGTTTCCGCGTTGCCATCGAAGCTGATCTCGTCACCAGTGCCGCCACCGCTCTGGCGCAAGGTGCAGTTAGTCTCTGTCTCCGTAACCCCGGCTATTGACCTCAGAATCGACCTCAAGGACCATGCTTCCGTCACACTCGCCAGCAGGTGCAGCTCCAGCCTTCGGATCGCTCGTCGCTGAAAGGGTTGCAGTGCGTCTATGAGACGCTTTGTTGCCAGGGTATTTGATCCCATCACCGCCGGGCACTTGACGCAATTGACTTGGAAAGGGATCAGGCGTGTTTCCTGGTAAAGCTGGCGGCATACAAGAAGAGACTGCACAATCTTATTGTTTCCACCTCTTGTACTCGATCCGGGACCCGAGACGTTGTATCCATCCCCCACCGCATTTGGGGCCCTTGACGGAGAGCGAGCTTGAGGTGGGAAATTTTCAGACGAGGTCATAAACGCGTACTGAAAAATCCTTTGCCTGAGCTCGTACGGGAGGCTGAGCAGCGGCGACCACGACAAGGCTCCGACTGCCATCCAGGCTGTGTTGTCCTTTGTCTGAGGCTGCTGCTCTCGATGTTCTTGCTCCTCCTCGCTATGAACTGTTTGCTGTCCATGAACCTCTGCAGGCGTTGATGGCTGGTCTAAATGGTGGGGCATCTTTCTGAGCTAGAGATTTTGGAAAGTGCTACCCTGGTCGCTATCCGGTGCCCCAGGCTGGCAGCGAGTGAGAGATGAAGACGGATTGCACAGCGAGGGAAGCTGGACGATGATCCCGCACACTTTTTTATTATTTTGGCAGTTGGCACCAAAAGACAAATCCCAAATTTTCACACTAGAGTGAGCCGAGCGAGAGTAGCCAAACTCGACACATTTCATGGTTTTAATCCCCAAGATGGGCAGCCAGCAGAGAGAGAGATGAATTTCAAATGTTGAGAGAGAGTGCATCAGCTCACCAACGTTCGCCGTTCGCCGTCCACCTCGGCTACATGGCGGCGGCTTCTCCCACACTTTTTCGTAAGGACTCAGCGGTGTGTCTATGTGACGGCACGGGGGGATATATATCGGAGCGGTGGAACGGTGGAACGGTGGAGCGTCAGGTATGGAGAACTCTTCCTACGAGGAGAAGGAAAGTCATGGCGCATGTACGAGCGGGACGACGGGTGGACAGCCGGCCATCGTCATCCTGACAAAGACTAGAGAAGGCGTGTGATATTTGGATTAGACCGGGAAGGAACGAACGAGGCTGTCAGGCGAGGGCACGCTTTATCGGAAAATGTCGCCGCCGCCACGCCTACGCCTACGCCTTGTACGTGATCAACTCAGTCAAGCACCGGCACAAATACATGTGCAAGTTACAGTTCTCGCACATTGCCAGTCACGCAAAAGGCCAACATGAGACTGACATCAGCTTACTACTTCTGGTTATGGTTTGTTGGCCGATACGAGCCATTAGAGCATCACTTCCCAACCACACAGTACATACCTAGGTACGTAATAATGTAATATGACCACTGGGACCGAGTATGGATGTAAGAGAGAGGAGAGAAAGATGTGAATGGCAATGGAATCGCGCTCAGTCTCCACTCTCTCTTCCCGCTCATCCTCTCCTTCACTCCACGTGGTGGCGAGTGAGTAGACGCGATGAATGACGTAATTACCTGCCACTTGTGTGCTGCTCGTATTTAACCTCGTTCCGTCTTCCGTAATAGTCCAATCGGAAAGGGTGTGTCTAGGTAATGGGAACAACACGAGGGGTAAGGATGAAATTCATGCTAGGTATATATGTAACAAGACGCAACGTATCCGGTGATGGTGTTACTCTTTCATCTTTTACACATGTCCCTAAAGCCGAGCATCCGACGCCGCCGTGACCACCCCCCAGATAAACCGGAATCACAGCATCGCCTTGGGCATCGCCTTGATGGCCTGCCTCACGCCGAGATCGGCCAGGATCTCCTCGGTACCGCCCAAGATGGCGTCGAACTTGTACGTGCGGTGGAACTGCTCGACGAAGCGGCCCATGCCCGTCTGGGTGATGCCGCGGCCGCCAAAGATGTTGACGGCGTCGTCGGCCACGTCGTGCGCGCACCGCGTCACGTACGACTTCAACAGCCCAATCGGCCCGCCCAGCAGCTTCGACTGCTGCGCATAGTCCATCTGGTTCATTTGGTAAGTGATGGTCTCGAGCCACGACTGGCACGCCTCGGTCAGCGAGATCATCTTGGCGAGTTTCTGTCGGATCACGGGCTGGGTCACCAGCGGCTTCCCAAAGACGATCCTCTGGTTCGTCCACTTGAGGCACTCTTCCACGATGGTGCGCATCCACCGTGTCACGAAGCAAACCATGGCCCAGCGCTCGTGGTTGAAATTGCTCATGATGACGATGAAGCCGTTGTCCTCCTTGCCCAGGAGATGGTTTACTGGCACCTTGACATTGTCGAATTGGATGAATGTCGTGGCCGCCGCCGTGGAATATGATGTCTTGATGCGTTTGGTCTCGATGTTGTCGTCCCGTGGGACCAGGATGACACTGAATCCCTTTTCGGTCTTGCACCCTGTCACAAAATAGTCTGCAAACATGCCGTTGGTGATCCATTTCTGCAACCATGTTAGTTCGCCAAATCCAAGATAGAGCGCATCGATGCGGTGTCACCTTTGTCCCATTGATTCTGGCACAGAAGTCAGTCAACATAGCCCATTTGCACAACAATCTCGTCAAAAAAAAAAAAAAACTCACATGTAATATTTGCCGTCCTCAGTCTTTGTGGCAGTTGTCCTTATTCCCGAAACATCGCTACCCGCAAACGCCTCAGTGACGGCAAGGCACATGAACTTCTTCCCGCTCAAACACTCCTCGGTGACTTTATCCTTCAACGCGGAATCATTTGCCCACTGCCTGACGGCCGTCAGCGAGATCATCATGCCCGCCATGTTTCCGTCCTGGAAGCCTCTTGCCATGGCGCGCGAGAGCTCTTGTGCCACAATCAAATCGTGGAAATAGTCGAATTCCTCGCCTTTGACATCGCCGAGCAGTTTGCGGCCGTGGAGGTGCTTGCCGGGCCCGAGTCGCATGGCGAGGAGGCCGTTCGCGGCCATCTTGTCGACCAGTTCCTGTGAGACGTAGGTGCCGTCGAGTTCTTTTTCTTGGGCTTCGGGGTAGATGTCGCGGTCCACGAACTCTCTCACGGCCTTTTGGAGGGCACGGTGCGAGGCGTTGTAGTAGGGCGTTTTGAACTGGGGGGTCAGCCACAGCGGCTCCGCGTACGGCACCCTCGACAGATCGCCAGGCTGTGGATCGATGACTTCGGGCTTCTCGTCTTGGACCGTGCCGATGCAGAGATCGGCGTACTTCTGGAGGACCTCGTGGCGGTGGAGGTTGTAGAAGGCCGTCGTGGCGTCCTGGCCGGCGACCTGTTGCAGAACCACATTGCCACCGGGATGGGCATCTATTGCAGCGCTGTTGTCAGCCCCATACATTCTCTCTCGGAGTCACGACCGGCCAGCTGCAGAAAGTGCTGTGTGATTTCGTCAAAGAGGGAGCAGCAAACGCACCGAGAAAGTCTGTCAGGTCGTAGACTTTGTGGTCGATCTGAGAGTTTGAGACAGTCAGTCAGCGCTCGACAAACGCGTCGACAAAAATTGGAGGTTGCTAGAGTGAAATATTTTGTAACGGATACTCTTGGTCCAGAGGGAACTTACGATGCACCACACATCGTCCTCAGTGTTATGCGAGGCAACCTCTGCGCGAGTATGTGTCTTGCTGGGGATTGTTTGAGATGCCTTTTGCGCCATGGCTGTATGTGAGATGATGTCAATGGAAAAAGGGAGTCAGGAAGGCAGGCGAGCGAGTAATCAACGTATCCCGTCAGTCAATATTCGCTCAATTCTCCCACAAAACAAAGAACTTCTTTAAGAATGAGAGTGGCAGCAGCGCGTGGACTGGGACATTTAACATGAACTCCGACTTGTCGGACATTTTGTCTTGTTGTCAATGAAACCGAGGTTGAATTCACTATTCCTCCAGCCAATCATGATCGACGTCAGAGACCATCGAATTGGCTGGCTTGTGATTGGCCCACAATACCCGGCTAAACCAGGCTGCACGAGGCTGCACAAGGCTGGGTCGAGTCGGAACAAACTACGGACATCACTCGGATTTTCCTTTGTCATACGACATTTCGGCTTGCAGTGATTAGACCTTGCATCCTCAAGCGACTAGTGTCGACGCCTCCTGCCTCTCTAGCATTTTGGAGTGGTGGATCGCACACCCTTTATAGGGGTAAGGTCCAAAAAGCGCTGGATCGAAAACGCCCACTTTGGGGATGCCAGGCAAGTTTGCCCTAGTAAGCCAACCTCCGCCACATCTAGTCCCGTGTCTTGCTCAGCTTCGCATTGACCACGTCCACAAGCTCCACCGCGGCTTGAATGTAGGGCGTGATGGTGTTTCGGACCAGGGTTCTCTGCTCAAAGGCGTAAGCCATCCCGATGAGCAACTCTTCACTGAAATGTGGCCCCATGAAACTGATTCCGAAAGGGAGATTAGGTGCGGTGGCATTCAGGTTACCAAACCCGTTGGGAGTAACTGCTGTGTCGGGAGGGAACGCTCCGAGAGGTACTGTTACGACGGGTGAGCCAATCAGAGCAGGGAAATTGGGCGAAAACTCCGTTGGCAACACCAGAGCATCCAAGGAGTAGTTGGCAAGCGCGCCTGTGACTCCAAGTGGACCGGCCAGATACGTATTCATGGTATAGTTCGACCAAAAGTCTGGCGAAGTGTTGTTGAAGCCCAGCTCTAGCGCACCGTCCCAGACTAACGTGTCACGCTCAGGCCAATCCTCCAAAGGAGATGAGTGAGTAAAGTTGCGAACGTCTGCCACAGAGTAGACATGGTTGGGATTGTGCGAGAGCTGTGAGAGATAGTTGGCAAGATCACTTATAAAATCCGCTTCCAGGACGATATTGGAGAAGTTGCCTTCATTGAGAGCGTCATAGCCAGTGAAGTTGGTGTTATCAATGATGGTCGCTCCTGCAGCGCGAAGGACGTCCAGGGCAGCGTTGAAGACAGGAACGATTGGTGCAGCAGTTGCGTCACTACAGACAGAGATTAGCTCTGTACCGATATAGAATGTTGACCGCTTGATCCGTGTCACTTCGGTCAGAACGGGGATACTGACAAAGATAGATCAATGAGGTTCCGTGGTACGCCAATCCTCTTTCCTTGCAGGCCCGAAAAGTTACATGCCGCTACGTAGTCAGGAATAATGTCGAAGGGAATTGCAGATGTGTAGTTGTCGTATGGAGACTTGCCCGCTATCGCTGACAGTACGTAGGCCGCATCTTTGACGGTCCGAGCCATGGGCCCGACAGTGTCTTGGTGTTCAGATATCTGAAGCAGATGCAGTCAGTGCTCTGACGGGAACAGTGAATCGACGTTGATGTGCTGGGATATCGAACACGGATCGCATGTCGTATGTGCGGGCCACTCACGGGAACAACCAGATCACGAGACGTCAATCCGACAGTAGGCTTGATTCCAACAAGATTGTTGACGTCCGAAGGGCTCAGAATGCTGCCATCCGTCTCAGTGCCCAAGGCAGCCAAGGCCAGCCCCAACGAAGAAGAAACGCCGCTGCCAGAACTGCTACCACTGGGATCTTGACCAGGATAATAAGCACCGACCGTCTGCCCTGCGATGGCAGACCAGCCGTTGCTAGTATTGAACGATCGGTAATTCGCCCATTGGCTCAAGTTGGTCTTCCCTAAAATCACAGCTCCAGCCTTCCTCAGATTGGCGGCAATTGTGCTGTCTCGAGGAACCTTGGCACCGGCAAGCGCATGTGAGCCGGCAGTATTGTCCATTTCATCAGCAGTAGCAATATTGTTTTTGATCAGTATCGGTATACCATGGAGTGGACCGCGAACGATGCCTTGCGCGCGTTGCCCATCGAGTTCTGCGGCGATAGAAAGAGCATCCGGGTTGAGCTGGGTCACCATATGCAAAGTCGCGTTGACTTCCATGATGCGTGCAATGTATGCTGTGACAAGATCGACGCTTGTGAACAGGCCCGATTCCAGCCCACGGATGAGATCTTCTGTGGTGGCCTCGATCAATGGGGGAAAATCAGTGCCATTAATTGCCGTGCGCTGATTCCAACATGAGCGTGCAGCGGTCAGAGTATTCAGGGACAGTGAAACTAGCAGGACCCCCAGCAGTCGGTATACTGATCCAAAGGCCATGTTGGTGAAAGTCGGACACGATGAAGGTAATGCACAGGATGAGGCCGACGGGAAGCTCTTTGTCCTCTTGAGTCGAGTCGAGAGCGGCTTGCAGGACCGGATCACGGATTATGCATACGTTGCCACGCAGATAGCTTGAGAGAGAGCACCCTGTACACACGCGTCGATCAGCGTCCATGTGGTCGATAAGCCGGGACCATTGCAAAAGGTTGCTCTGCCATTGGCTGATGCCTTTGTCTTGATCTGCATCGATACAGTCGGGCAAGGCGCTACCCCACAACATTGCAGACGAGCAGACTTATCGAGCTGCCAAATTAGGCAGCTCAAAGTCGGTGCACTGACCAACACAATTCCCGTGAAATGCATCAAGCCGAACAGCAAGGTCATCATGATTCATATTCAACCCTGCTGGAGATGTATACCAGACACTGGTTTGGCTTTTTGGCTCGAAGCACTTTCCGGGTCATTTGGTGGATGCATTGCTCTCTTCTAGTGTGCGCCTACTTTGGCTGCTCGCCGCGACGAGAGGACCCTTTTGACTTCCCTCAGGAGGCCAACAATCAGCGGAACTCCGACAGGGCCCAAGAGTGGAAGGAGCACGGCGATTTTGTGCTCGTCGGGAAAGTAGACCTGGCCGACCATGGATTTGTCGAAAAAAGCCTTTTCGCTGTCTTTGAAGGCAGTTTTCGCATGTTCGAGAGTGAGATCGAATCTACCTTCGAGCAAGAATTTGCAACACGCTTTGAGGTTGGCAATGGAGTCGTCGACTAGCTGAGCGACGTGTCTCGGGATTGGAATGTTGCTGAGTCGTTGAGCCAGTCGAGCAAGTGATCCCAGACTAGACGCGGCATGTAGGGAAAGGGAAAGAGCTGACAGGCGTTTGTAGGCATCGAGTCGTAGCTGAAGCGGCCGTGGCGGGGCAGAATCACCAGGATGCGAGACCCCCAGCAAGGACAGTAATTGCAAGGCAAATGTCTCAAAGGGCAGGTGCAAGAGCTCTAGATCAAGATAAGCAGGTACCATGTTGCCGTGGACAGCGTGCAGGAACAGAGGTGGATTGAGAATTTGTATTCCACCCCATTGAGGGATCAGCCACGAATTTTCGTCAACCCCATCGACGCGCAGAGGTATCTGATCCCTGGCTGGGACATAGAGGATGAAGTTGAGCGTAGGTCCATCTCCAATGGAAGGCGCTAGAGGCCACTCTGCAGAATTCACAAACGCTGTGAGCTCGTTCTGCTGGAGGAAAGTGCCGTTTTGTCCTTCTCGGCGAGTAGGTTGGATGGTGGGAGGGAGAGTGGAATACAGCTGCACCTGGGTCTGGATCTCGAAATCGGCAATGGACGAGAGTGCTTGTACAAGAGGGCCAATGTGGTCTCGAAGTGCTTCGTCAATGTCCCACCCTGCAGGAGCACCGCTGGCCGTAAGCAGAGAAAAGGTGAGATGGAATTCGGGAGACGGTTTGTATGCTCGATTGAGCTGCTTTTCGACTTTGACAACGACATCGTACGGTTGAGATCTCAGAAATGCCTGTGCGTTGTGAGCGTGACTGGATAGAGAGACAGTCTGAAGCGCAGCAGCGATTTGTTCCTCTCTGAACAGAGCATAGAGGCTTTCGGCAAGAGTTTTGGCAGTGATTCCCCCAAGACCAGCCGGTATACTGGCACGTGCAGTCGCCGTGACGCTGTCGAGAGTGAATGCAAAGTTACCCTCGGTGGGTTCAAGGAGAATCTTCAATGCGGGCGTTCCATGGTGTAGGGATGCAGGATCATCACCGCACTTCCCGCCCATTTTCTCTTTCTTTCCACCAGCGGCCTGGCCATCCCGTCCCAAATTGACCAGGTGAAGTCTTTGGTGGAATGTCGGGTACTCGTCGAGATCATCCAGGGCTTGCTGGGTGTCCTGTACGAGTTTCTGGGCGTCGGAGCAAGGTAGATCGGAGGCAGAGAGCCAGATATGTAGAGGAATGGTTGTGGGTGTACTCTAGATCTGTGATCAGCATCGACCCGCCTGCGATACTGGTGTGTGGCTTACAAGTCCCTCTGCCCAGTCCAGCATGTCCTGCAGTGGCAGGCTTGCCCGATAGATCGAGGTGGTTTGCCACCATACTGGGAGCCCCAGCAGTACAATCACCACCCAGAAGGAGAGTACAATCTTTGTTCGCAGGCTCACAGCTTCGGGTGTTTCGGGGGGAGGTTGTTTCGACAAAGGTACAGCATCGGGAGGAGTGGTAGGGACTTGCTCCATTGCGGCAGGTCCAGGTACTAGAGACGCAAATCAACTATCGGGTTCGGCTGGGTATTCCTCATGACACGTCCATCACGACCGGGGAAGCATTGCTGGCCTCTAGATATAGAGGTCTGTTGGCAGTTTTACAAGGACAATGGAAATTCGGTATTGCAACGTGTTTGCACGATTCAGACGCTAGCCTGGCAACTCTCCACCTGAGTCAGTAATTTGAGCAAAGCCCTAGCCATCATCACTTTTTTGTCCCTCGATGCTTATCCACTCTTTTTCAGGGCCCAACGCTCACTTAGACATGATGTATTTGTTATAACAAGAGATCCAGTCTCTCTATAATCTGCCCTTGGAGATGTTTGGGCCAAACATGGCCGTTCGCCGCACGGCTAGTGTTCTACTCAGCTCTCAAGCTCGGTTCGAGTCGGCCGTGTTGATATCATCAAATGCACGACCGATACAACAGACGAGAACACTCTTCGACTCACTGCTGTCTTCAACACTTGGGAATTGTGCGCTTCGTTCTATGAGTCACACCAAAGTTCTACCGTACTCCGCCGCAACGGTCTTCAAAGCCGTCTCTGACGTGGCTGGCTACCCGACATTTCTACCCTTTACCATTTCCTCCAACGTCACATCAAGGGATGCTGCGGGCTATCCGACCCGAGCTAGTCTGAAAGTTGGGTACGCAACACTCGGCATCGAGGAAGATTGGGAAAGCATCGTCCGGTGCGATCCGTGTCGAGGGACCATCGAGGCGAGAAGCAGCGAGGAGCACAGTAACGGCCTTTTTGAGACACTGAGTACGAAATGGCTCATCGCACCTTCAAAGACGGCAAACAACAGCACCGCTGTCAAACTGAACGTCGACGTCAAGTTTCGAAATCCACTCTACGATCAAATGTTTGCCCAGGTCGAGGGTAAGGTTGCAAGTACAATGATGTCTGCCTTTGAAAAGAGGGTTGAAGAGCTCCATGAGCAGCAGAAAAAGCGGCCGCGGTGAAGGGCAGAGTGCAGCAAGGAGCGGAGATTGATTGCCTGGGACATACATGCGTCAAAGGCCATAAATTCCTCCAAACACAATCACATCAAGGAGGTTGTTCGCCTATCCACCAGTTCCTGAAGCTCGCCGCCGCCTCGGAGGCTCGACCAAGACGCGACTGAGCGCGTGTCAATCTGCTTCATCCACCCAGAGTCAACCACCCCAATTTGTTGGCCTGTTGTTTCTGGATTGAGCAGAGGTACCAGCGAAAGGGGCAATCGGGATGGGGTCATCCAGGTCGTTTCATGGCGACGACGGATCAACCACGCTCAACACTCCACTCCGCTCCGATCGAACATATACATGACGATCTGTGCGCGACGACGATTTTTTTCATCCCAAGCTTGTAAAGGGGCGATCTGGATCGGGATTAGAAAAGGACTATATTGCTGAGTGATAGAGCGCTCTCCCTGCTCAAAACTGTATTGTAGATAGTCCTAGCGGCTAAATGTATCAAAATGCATACCCGTACACTTTCAACCTGCGGGACCGGCAGTTTATCACAGCATCACCGCATCGTCACAGAGTCATAATCCCCAAAGCGATGGGACCGAATGTCATGGCTGGGCGGCTCGAGGAGAGGGAGAACCGGAAAGAGGGACTACCGATCGAGGTGCGGCATATTTCGCTCGCTGGTGTAGAAAAGGGAAAACTAGAGCTACTTGCACAATGGATAACCAAACGGGGAATTTTTTTTTCGTCATAATTGGTAGCTCGTACTCGTCGTTTTCATTGGGCATCTCGAAAAGAGAAATGTACTCACTCCCTCGTACCGAGTAAGAGAACGTGCCAAGTCGGTAGGGCCTGTGATACACACAATCCACGACAACAAGCAACAAGCAACAAGCAACAATTCACGACCGAACCCCAAACGGGGAGAGGCCGACTAACTAATACTCGTGCAGGACGTGTGACAAGACTGGAGGTGAGATGCCGGAGCTGGTGTGCTTCTTGGTGGATGGGCCAGGGCCTCCCCCCGTAGTCGTTCACTAGGCCCGCACCTGCTCCCACCACTCAGACGCAGCCATCGCACTTCGTCACATCCCGACCATGCCCAACTGCCAATCACTCGCCTCCTCCAAAACCTCGTCCACGCTCATCCTCTGCTGCTGACTGGCAGATCAGCTTTCTTTAACCGCCGAGTGATTCTGCAAGCCACCGCAAGCCATGGAAACATCCCTGGCTGGCTGCAAGTCGCAAGTCGCAGTCGCAGACTCGCAGTTGCAACTCCTCCTCCTCCATGCTTGCCGCTGGCTGATGCTACGGAATTACAAGTCACCATAGCACAGCACAGCACAGCACACTGACACACCCTCACATTCTCACGGAGAGGGGCAAAAAGGGCCGCCTCTTCCCTCCACACCTTTCAGCTCTCCTCTCTCGCTGGTCAGGGGGCCTTCAAATTTTGGGATAACATAGAAGCGCAGCGCAATCTCTGGGTTGCAATCCAAACAGACTCGCCCGTCTGTCGGTTTTTGCGCTGGAGCCCTCTTGTTTCATATGTCGCTGCGCTCCCCGTCTGTGTCATGGCCTACTGGCATGACCGCCCTGCGACCGGCGCGCCTCCCTCGATGCTGGCCATAGTTGGCCTGTTGCTGGCCGTCCTCCTCCGCGTCACTACCGCCTTGCAGTCTGTCGCCGGATCTCCCTGCGAATCTGTCTGCGCCGACGCCGGCTCCCTCGAACAAGTCGTCCTCTGCCTCGATGCCGACTACCGGTCCCTTTCCACGGGTCGAGCGGTCCAGAAGTGCGTGGCTTGTCAGTTGAACAGCACCGCGGTAGATACGGCGAGCAATGAGACGGACGTAGAATGGGCACTGTGTATGACAAACTACTTGTTTTTCCCTGTCAAAAATATGTTGGAAATGCTGAGACGTGGCTTTTGCAAAACCTCCCAGTGGCCCTTCGTTACACACTCGCCGGGTGCATGTTTGCCATCCCCGAAGACCATATCTCGATCAGCAGTCCATGTCAAGTCAGCTGTGCCCCGCTGAACGCCTCAATCGGTTACCACGTCACGAACGACAGCTCGACCGCTCAACCGGGCAACGAGTTCTGTGCCGCCGACCCTTTTGACGACTACACAATCAACCGTTGTGCCACTTGTTACAGCTTCATCCCGCAGCAGTTGTACCAGGCAAACTGTAAGGCCCCGCGCTTCTTCTCCTTGCTTTGGTCCAATATGCGTGAGGTTCGTCTACCCTTGCTCACTTGCTCTGAATCATAAAATAGTTCTCCAAGCTCTGCACATCGCATGCCGCCAGCCGCCAGAACCGGGTAAACCGTTCTTTCCAGACGCCAAGGCCATCTTCAATGAGACACTAATAGCCGGGCCCGCGCCGCCATCAAGCAATACGGGCCACCGCAGCGGGCTCCACGGATGGAAACTGGCTGTGGCTATTGTGCTGCCAGTCATTGGTGGCATCCTCCTCATCTCAGGGACGTGCTGGGGTTGTTTTATTTTCACCCGCAAACGTCGCCAGCGGATGGCCCAAACCGGTCGCATGAGCCGCGTGCACGAATCGCACGCCGACAGCATGTACTCGCCCATGTCTGCCAAAGCTGAAGCCTGGAAAGCCGAGAATCTCCCATGGGGCGTGGTGGAACCACCGCGAGAAATGCACGCCATTAGCCCGACGCTGCTGCACGCGAAACACCCGAGTCCAGGCGTCGCGCAAGGCCGTTGGAGTCATCAGACTGGGGGAACGGGAGGGTCGGAGCAGACCACTCCCTTGAGAAACAGTTTTCAGCGTGAAGCTGTCGGCCCCGGACCAGAGCAAGTTCGAGATCCGAATCTCCATGACCAGTACTTTGGCGTTGGTGAAGACATGGATGACTTGCCTGGACCCAGTGGCGGACACGAGTATTATCCTGAGCAGCATCAGCATGGCCTCGGACAGCTCCGAGTGCCTGATGATGAGCGGGGAAACTTTATATGATGGCAATGCACGGAAAATGCACCACGCCTCGTGACGAAGGAGGGAGAGAGAGGGAATTCTACGATGAAACGACCCGAATGTGATAACCCCAGTTGTTGAATGAACCCGCCTGAAAACCACCCGCGAAGATAGAGCGATGGGGAAGGTTGTCAGGGATTCTTCTTTTTCGTATATACTGGCCGATTCTGCAGGCTTTCTGCAATTCGGTCATGATCCTTAAGCAGTTGGGAGAGGTTCCATGATTGCCTGCAACTGAATGTACCATAGAAGTCCCATACGAGACTTGGAAGAAACTTGATTGTTTGCCATGGAGGAAGACATTTCAGGCAGGGTGTCGTCCTGTCCACCGATTTCTTTCGAAATTATACAAGCAGTGGCTCTTTTTCCGTGATCCGGCTCTGTTTTTGGTAGTGACTTGGCTGATCAGGGTCTTTGACATTTCCCACCGGATCGACGGTTGCACAGCCTCGTGGCTGGTGCGGATTCCCTGGCTGGAAGTCAGAAACGGATCCAGACTTCGTTGGTTCTTCGTCCGCAAAGTGCAATGTTGCTGCAGTCGAACCTCTTGCTGTTCATCAGCTCCAGTAAATATTTGCAGAGGTTTCAATGCGCATCTTAAACCTCGTCCGCGGCAATGACGTTCGTAGTGGGCTCGCTCGCCGGCTTCAAGGCCAGATTCAGTATCAGCGCTCATGTAAATTTCGACCCCCTTTTGCCTGCAGCCTTGTCTTGTGTCTCTTGTCAGCCTTGCCAGTTCTTCGAATGTATTTCCTTGCAAAATCTTTGAGGTGCCGCGATGTCCCTTGAATCTTTTGAGGCCGGGTTTTGTGTTCGAGAGTAGGCTGGGACAATTGCCAATAGAACCTCAAGTCGGCATCAGCCATCAGGGCTTAAATTGAGGCTAGCTCAAAGGACATTTGCACACCCTAAAGCCCCAATGCCGGCAGCACAGATCATTCATATCCTTCGGGCCTATTTTGTAGAGTTCTTCACAACCAACAGTATCTGTGTAAAATTGATCTCTGTCATTTGTCTACCTTGTCAACTGTGCGTGTGACAACTGGTTTGGTCTGCAGGGACCACGCGCATGTAGAGGAGGGCATGAGGATCGAGAAGCAGGACAAAAAACCTGCTGTTCGCTGAGGAAAAAGGTCTGTGGCATTCCTAAAACAAGTCAGCTTTCATTGGTAGGGCATGTTAAAATCTTCGCACATCAAAACGGTCCATTGTGAATACAAAACACCGTGGCTGAAGGCGGAGCAACGGGTTCAGGATGAGCACACCCAGCACAAAACTCGTTGTTGGGAGAAGTCGCTTGCTTTGCAGATTGTGTAAACCCAAAAAGGCTGAACAACTTTAACGCTTGGAGACGAGTGCCCCTTCTGGAAGCAGGTGTGCTGCAGAAATATTCTCAGAACGTCCTGGGTGGTTTGGCTGCAATCTTGAGCCACCAACGCGTAATGACAGGGGAGTGAAGTTTTCTGGAACTGTAGGAGGGGGCGTTCCAACAGACAGTTAGGGTGTCTGTCTGGTGTTTGGGTCACTTGAAGGCATCTTGTTTCATCAGTCGCAGAGAGCCTGTTAAGCGCATTGTTAGTATCATGATGAGGATACAAGATTGATCATCAAGAAATCAGCATGGCTAAGCGTATGTGCAACAAGGCGGCCGTGGAGAATCGAGCGCCCTCAATGCGTCCTGAGTGTGCCCTGCGCAGGAGCCTGCCGAAGAGCGTGAAGGGTTTCCCAGATCGGACATCCCCCTCTTGTTGTGTTGTGACAGCGTCATAGACGACGACAATCTTCTGCAATCTTCCAAGCGAACGCTACCCAGCAGGCAATAAGGCGGTTAATCGACAAGAGTTGGATACGGTGAGCGCAGTAGGAGCACGGCAGTCCCGTTGAGGATCGACAGCATTCTTAGACAAGGTTTCAGATCATCGTTCCCGTCGCCAGCAGACGCCTACAGAGAAGAGACTCAGTCCACAGCGAGAGGATGTTATGTCCAAACTACCTGTGGAGGCAGGAAGCCAGAGAAATCACCTCGAGGAGTGTGTGCCGTGCTCAATTACCCAAGGCCCAGGGCGCCACGAAGCGAATAGCGTGCCTCATCTCGCCTCACTTTTTGTGGCCACGAATATGGCAAACACGGTTGGATCCATCGTAGGACAATTTGCCGCTAGACGTCGTAGCCAAAAAGCCACAGGAGAGAACGTCACATCCGCGTAGAGCGGTCGAGTGGTCAAAGAAACAGTGAACATTTGAAGTGACACTTGACTGGCGTGACTGGACAAAAAGCGGTCTATCTGTCCACGAATGACCTTTTTTGACCCAAAAGAATTTCAACTGCCATGGCCAGAGTCGGAAAGTTGCTGCCACTGCGAAGACTGGCCACTCGGGGGAAGGCACCTCCGTTTGACTCACCCGATATCTTGGAAGGTGGCAGCAGGAGACTGATGCCTTCGTACAAAAGTACTTGGTACTCATCAGTCAAACTGCGGAAGGCTGGACAAAAACAAGTTGCTTTCCCCCAGATCTACTAGCCATCTGATTTGCCAATGCAACCTTGACAGAACAATCTTTCAGGCCTGTCGAGTTCTAGAATTCAAACGTGTTTGAAGTTTGAGGCTCAGTTACCTCGGAGGCTAGGTCATTCCATGTTTCACCTAAGTAGTCCGTGCTCGCCTTGGATCGACCGCCGCCCCGAGATGGTCGTGTACGCTTCGGCGACGAAGCCCGAACCTAGTGGTCACAGAACAACAGGACTTGTGCTCCGAAAACTGGGGTCGGTGTGGATGAACTCTATCTGATCTGTGCGGCAGGCCACATATGCCCTGCCCTGCTAACATTTTCTCAGAGATCCTGGGCAATGGACCTGTTGACAGGCGGCAAGTCCACTCACCGAAAGGTAGATTGTGATCTACATGTCAAGGTTCCGAAGCTTTCCAACGTGCAGAACGTTCTTCGCATCACCGCCTCAACCCACGCTGCGAAGTCCTCGGCAGCGAAGCCCTGGCTCTAGCCGCCCTCGTTGAAGATCGTCTGGTTGCTGCCCAAAGTCATGTCTTGCAGCCAAATTCCCTGTCGTTTGAGTCACTGACGAAAGGTACATGCTGGTGGAGTGGGGGAGCGAGGAGGTGGCGACGTCGATGCCCAATGTACACGGAAGGTACCTGACGAGGTGGGCAGTTACGAAAGGAGCTATCAATGCCCGGTAGTCACAGAGCAAAGCCCTGTAAGGTCCAAAATTAGTGACTTTGACACCAACGCCGTGTTTGTACTTGGGTCGAGAGCGAGTACAGGTTTAGGGAGTTGATAGAGCTAGAAGAGCCCGGATTCTCTCAAAAGGACACCACAGATGGAGCTCTAGAATTCTGCAGATAGGAAAGAGCAGGACGGCCCACAGACAATCAATCACTTCCAAATTGCCCAACGCATGTTGGGGCACCGTGTACGTGCTCCTGGTGCCAGGGTTTAGCGTCGAGGACCTCGGCGCCCACTTACTCCATCATCACTCGGCAAGACCCAGAGTAACTCGAGGAACATGCATGCTCAGCTGGACGACGGGAGCCCAGCAAGCTTGGTGGAAAAAGCAATGCAGTGATGGCTAATAGGCCAGGGTCTCCCAGAGTCTTCCACGTTGGACCTGTCGGCTCGCTGCTCACACCGTATCTCCCTCGCAGCATCCCACTCTTGCATCATCATTTGCCTGCTCTTCACGTCGCAGTCAAGCCATGTGGCATCTTTGTCTGCGCCCTTCCACTGCCCAATGTGAGGTCCTTGCTGGGCAGCGGCCCTCGTTCGTTGGGAAGGCGCTTGGGTCGCAAAAGTCACCAGGCAGCTTTTGAAGGCGGTCAACAAATGATTGCACTCGGTGCTGCTTTGAAGACGTAGAAGCACCGGACATTGACACGCGTGACGACGGCTGTGGTGACTCAACCCTTCTCAAGGCTTCCTGTCCGTCGAGAGCGTCGGCCCCGACCTCTACCTCCTTCTCCCCACTCGGAAATCCACATGTTTCTCTGCAGCGCCTGGTCCCTTCACAGCAAACGACCTTCCTGTATGTTCCGATCTTGCCAACCTTCGAGTTTGAGAAGACGAAAAAGGCACGTCTGCCCCGACCTGATGATGCATTTTATTGACGCATCAATTCCGTACCTGGGTCACACAACGTCGTCGTGAGGGACATTATACTCCACTTCTCTGTCAGCGGACCACACATTGTCACCCAGTCGACGTGGAAAGGATAATTGGGGCAACCGCTCCTCGAGGCTCGATTTTTAACGTCGGAAAGCCGCCTAGCGAAAGGCAATGGCACGGGGGCATCGTGGAGAAAAGCATCTGTCTTTTGCACGCTGTGACGAGGCGGTGGTCAGCAAAATTGTTCCTTCGACATGGCTCACAAAAGCAAGGAAAGCCGAAAGTCTGACATACTCCATACCGGGAAAGACCCAGAGAAATCCTTCATTCCGCCCCCAGATGTACAAGTAATTTCGACCGGGGGCCTGGCTGCAGTTCACAATTGCATTGTTCTTGGCTGGAACTTTTGTACAATCCGATCCGTGGACGCCATTATCGTAACTTGTAGTCAGTGGGTACCTTCCTCGGTCGTCCCGGCCTTGAATCGCGGTAATGGCACATCGACGCACCTGCTAATCCATCTGGTATTCTGCGTTGCTAGCCTATTCGTGGCTTGTGCCTGTCACGAAAAGCGCCTTCCGAGTAAATGTCGGTGCAAATAGGAACGCTGCGTTTCGTCTCAGCTGGTGCGACATACAAATGGTCTTTAGCTATGGCCTCAAGAATTGCCCCTCCCCATTTACTGGACTGGGTGCCACTCATGACATGGTGAGGGAAAAAACAGGCCAGCAACAAAGTCCGATCATGAGCCTGCACGATCTCGCTGACACTCAGCATGGGTATTTTTGCGGGCGGAGAAATTTCAGTGGCCTCCAAGGAAAATAAATATCTGGCATGTGCATCATTGCAGGAGGATAGGTCCCCCCCTTCCTTCGCAGAATGGCAAAGAATAAGCAAACATGATTGCGGGGACTCTTTCACTGAAATCCCAACCCTCTGAGTCTGGCTCTTCTTTCGAGGATTACGCTCTCGGTTTGCCTATATAGAGCGTCGAGCTGTTCCATAGACAATGAATCCATCAAGATCTTCGCGACCTGCGTGGCGGCGCTGACTAGTTGCAGCATATACCGGTCGTCCTTTGGCGTTCTGGGCTGCTGGTCTCTGTTGTTTTGCTTGACGGCAATAGAGTTCTCTAATGTCGTGACGAACTGTTTGATTTGGTTGTCGTAGAGCACGCGGGCTGGGATCCTTCGCTTGGTGGCGAGTCTCTTCAATAAATACGCCCACTCGGTCCACTCGCGGTCCCCCGGCGTGCGGACCCTGGGTTTATCCCTTTCTAGCGGGATGGGAAACTGGTATTTGGCGACAAAGTGAAAGGCACAGCGGGACAGAATATCATTCACACGAGAGGTGATCTCGTCCTGCTCCTCGACGTCGAGGTGGACTGGCAGCGAGGGCAAAGCCTGTGACCGTGCGTGCTCCTGTTGCGGTACCGGCAGCGGAAGCAGCTGAGAAGGCCCGTCGAACTCGTCTTGGTTGAAAGGTCGTCTCCGCGTGTGGTAGCGAGTGGCGGTCCTGCCCATCTCGGAAGCCCGTCGATTTTGCGTTTCCAGGTCGTATTCTGCATAGCCCTGACTTGTGGGAGACCCTGTCTGAAGAATAAAACTGTCCTGGCTCTGCCTCCGAAGCGTCATGTTGGGGTCATCGGGATTCGACCTGGGTGGCAGACCGTGTTGCGGATACGAGCCCGGTTCAGATGCGAACGTAGACGACTGTGATACAAATGAGAGTGGTCGGAAAGGATCGCCCACAGGAGTCGCCGTGGGTATACGAGCTGCGTTGTGGATCTCTAGAGGGAGCCTCTGCCGCAGCCTCTCCGACCGCTCTGGAGATATGCGGCCGCCAGATTCCCCAGCAAACGGGTCGTAGGTGGACGACGGCCACTGTGCAAACCTAAGGCGGGTCGCGTGTCAGCAGAAGGAGAATCGAAGCGTCTGCGGTGCACGACGTACCTGGAGAAAGAAAATGGAGACGAGGTATCGGCCAGCGACCTCGCGGTAGCCGTATCTTGCTGCTGCCTGGAAAACAGAAAATCCTCCTTCTCCGACATGCCCGCGGTATTGTCTGTTAAATCAAGAGCGAACTGAACCCCCGGGGCGACTCCCGACGAGTAGGTAGAATGTAGATTGCTGATCGGAGAGGTCAAGGCCAACATGATCAGAGCGAACCAAAGTGGTGTGCAAGCGGAAAGAAAAGAAGAGAACAATTCGAGTTCGGAAGGAGGTGAGGGTGTCTTGTCTCCCACTACGGCCAGGAGGGTTGTCGAATGATCTATGGCCAGGGGGCTTCGTATAGGGCACTCATCAGGTAATGCAGCATAATTTTTGATGCCGAACTTGGTCTGGCGGAAGGGAACAACAAAACGGAAAACCCGACAACGAGGATATTGAACTTGTCAGTGACGGCACGTGGAGAGAGGAGGGACAACGCGAATCAGTTTCGGCCCTCAGAACTATGCTTGAAGTTCTCTGATGATTCCCACCGATTCCGCAATCCCCGGGAGACTCTACTTTCTTACGAAAAGACCCACACGGACAGGGGGGTGAAACGAAAGTGCCATGACCCTGAGCAGCGGGTTGTTCCCGACGGCCATGGACGAGGCGTCGAGGCGCTGCCGTCCATTGTACACCAGTTTAGCAGACTGACAAGGTCTGCCTTAGCACTTCCAAGGTAAGGGCCCTTGATTCGCTGCTCGCAGGCAGGGAAAAAGTTGGGGCCCGCGTAATAATAAAGGTTTGGAACCTTGGTTGTTCTGGAAGCCCGTTAATCTCTTCTTGGGAACGGCGGCGTGACCGGCCAGGAATCCCCCATCCCTGGTTATTTTGGGCTGTTGCGCAAGTATAAGGTTTCTTTTGATGCCCGAGACGCGTTCAATGGACGATTCGTGCTCTCAAGGTCACGGTGAGCTGCATCACCTGCCAGTCACGCGGGTGTTGTTGATCGACGCGTTGTTCAAGAGATGCTGGACACGCAGGACGTACACGCTGCTAAGTCCGTCTAGGACGATGGGGTGTCGAGTTTCGCACAGCCCTAACATGGAGAACAAGGGTTGCGAGAACGCCTCGAGTGGCCGTTTCGAGTATAAGCGGTGGATCATAACCCCTAAGATTCGGTCGGTGGAGCATAACGGGTGATGAGCGTGAGGCGTTGGGCTAGCGAGTCGCATGGGTAGCCCAAGGGTACCCAAGTCCTTTTCAGGTATCTGAAGATCAATTCGTCGCAAGATCTGGTAGACCGGCTATTTGCTTTGGTGAAGAATTAGTTAGCCATCACAGTGCAAGCATGTCAGAGCAATGGCTGTGCATAGGTGCTCAAAGACAGATGACAATTGCAGACCAGGGGTGCATAGGGGCAAAAAGTTCCCGAGTCACGAAAAGGGTTTGACCATTACAACATATTTACCCGTAGAGCCATGTACCTAAGCAGCAAGTAGTGAGGGTGCCGAGGGCGAGGGTCTCGCTGATCGCACCCGTAGTGTAAGTAGACGAAAGGTGCAGGACTGGAGAAGACCCATTTACACTATTGCTGCCCAAGCTCAATAGCTTGCCCTGGTGCCGATCACGGAGATGATCTGCACTGGCCTTGGTGAGGCGGCAGAATTTTCTCGAAGTAGGGCTGCGAAGCCTCGAGCGAAACAAACGGACTGCGGATTCTATTGTACTTGGTGGCCCCTGCCGGAAAAGGTGTCCTTTGGCCCGAACCAGGAACAGTCTGGTCTTTACAGGGAGTCGGGGACCACATCAGGTCATTGGAGTGAGAATATGTACCCCGTAAAGCGCCGAGAGTCTCAGCAATAGTTGGGTGAGGGCAGAACAAACTGGATTCGGTGGTAAAGGCAGGCGACCCGACGGTCAGAAATCCAGTCCCAGTTTCCCGAGGCTCCAAAGGATCCATCTCTTGGAGAAGCGTCAGGGTTGAAACCGAATAACGAAGCCCAGTGCTACTCCGTACAGGTGCTGTGGGCTAAATAACGAGTCTAGGATCATGGGGTGCCGTGGAAGCGGGAAGGTAGTGGAGGCAGCGGGACGAACGACTCGTCAAATGGAGGACTCGGAATTTGGAGTAGTTGTGCTTCGCAGGAACGAGTTTGGAGAGAGACGGGTCAGGATTGAGGAAGGCTTGATGAGGAAGCCAGCGGAAAGTGGATAGAAGCTGTTTTAGAAAAGGGGAAGCTCGAGGTGTCTGGGGGGGAAATGGATATGAGGAGGAGCAGGAGGAGAAGGGGATGGAGCCTCGCTATTCTGCAGCTTTACCACTTGCCCTGCACTTGTTAGCACTGGCGTCTTTCCTGCGCCTGCGCCACCCGTCAGTGCCATCCCTGCTAGCGAAGATCATTGGCTGTGCGACTGCCAAGAACATGGCGACGTCACTGATTCCAAATGCTGGGTTGCACCGGCCATTGGATCCAGCACCAAACATGAGACGACGAACTGGTGCAAGGCTATCATAGCAGCAACAGCAGCACCACCAACTCATTTCCTTCTTTTCAACCCGTCACCAGCCACAGGGCCTCCCGAGGACCGAGGCATACTCGCACAACACTTGCATCGATACCAATCTCTGGACAGCTGATAGCGGCCACGGATGCTTGCTCCTTCCTGTCATAGTCGTGCTTTGCTCAGAAATGGGGAAATACTACCTGGGTACCTGCCTAGCCTGCACCACCATCGTGCCTCCGTCTTGTGCATGCTTCCGACGGCCAGGTACCCGACATCCCCCCCTTTGTGCATGACTTTGGCCCCCTTCACTAATTTTCGCTGGTGCTGCATATTTCCAGGATCCCCAAGCAGGTACCCGGCAGCTTTCCAGGTCTAAATCCTAACCTGGGTAAGCACTGCTGGGCAAAGAACACACGTCGAGTCTCAATGAACCCTCAGATGCCCTTCTGCCGATACCATGTTCCTAGCTTCTGGCACCCTACCACCTTCGAGTACCTCTGGCCACCATGGCGAACCCTGCTCAACGCCATCAAAAATCGCGCACCCTTAAAGCACCGATTCTCCGATTACATAGTGCTGACCTGATCTTATCATATGGCGAAGTCTTTGTCTACTACTACAACCGCTGCCCCTGCCCCGGCACCTTTAGCTCAGTAGCGTCGCCGACGCATTCCCCATTTACCCACGCGGTGGATTTCTCGTACGTCCTGCGTATCATCATCATTTGACACGGAAGGAGCCTCTCGTCAGTCTTTTAGCATAGTGCTGATCCGCATTGACATCAGTCAGCGCCTTGGTACCTTCAAAAATCTACCGGCAGCCAGTGGCCTCAAAAAAGATGAGAGGAGGAGACGGCAGCACTCACCTCACAGCTTGTCCTAATTCCAGCTTCAAGGCCTACTCGAGGGTGATAGCCGAGGATCCTCCTGGCTTTAGCACCACTGGCATACCGCATCGCGCAGGCGTCCATCACGCTTCCACGCGAGAGGGTCGTTGGAGTGCCCGAAACTCGGGTAAAGACTTCCGCGACCAAGCCTAGGACCCATGCCAGTCCTTCTGGAATGTGAACTTCCCAGGCGGGCGGAAAATGCCCAAACTCTTTCCAAACAGCAAGGCTGAATTCACGAAAAGAGACGGGTTCGTTGTTTTGGATGAAGAAGATATGCCCAGCGGCGCTTTCCGCTCTTGTTTGACCATTGCAGCCACGCTTTGATCCCGCTGATTGCAAATCCAACAGGTTTTCGACGGCAAGAACGTGTGCGTCAGCCACATTGCCAACGTAAGTCGTGTCCCAGAGATTGCTGGCGTCCCCAATCACCCAGCGAGTCTCTTGTTTGGCAATGCAGGCGTGAATTGGTGGTATCAGCTGGTTGTCCCCTTCACCAAACAGCACCGAGGGTCTCAGCACGCAGGTCGACATTTTCTGATTGTTTGCTTCCAGCACTATCCGCTCCCCTTGAGCTTTACTCTCGCCGTATATGGACGACTTGGGTGCAACTGGCCACCTCTCATCAATGTTGGCATACGGCTGGCTCATGTCGTCTATCACAGCGCAGCAACTACTCGTATACACAAATGCTTTGCATCTGCTCATTCTGGCCGCCTCGACCATGTGCCGTGTCCCTTCCACGTTGACAGTTTTGACCAACGCTTCCAGGCGTCGCGCATACCTGCCAGAACAAATTGAATGAGCGACTGTGTCTCGTTACACTAAGAAAAGTATCGAGACCAATAGAAGTGCCCGGCGCCGCAGCACATCTCCCCCCGAGGGTAGAGAACAAGATTCGGCGCCTCGAATGGGAGCTGCTATCCGGGAACCGCGTCGTTCGCATAGCACGACGAAACGTACCTACCTCTCGCTCAACGACGGCACAATACCTGCTGAGTGGATAACGGCATCTGCGTCGATCATGGCAAGTGCGTCCATGACGCCGGCCTGGTTCGTGATGTCCGCCTGGACATAGTCATATTTGCAACCCCTGAGTAAGTCCAGCTCATCATCTCGCGCGTCAGGGTTTCCTTGTCGTGGATCTTCAGCCCTGTCGAGAATCCAGACGTGCCAGTCGGGATGGAATTCCTGCAAAGATCGGACAATGGCTGAACCCACAAATCCAAGACCTCCTGTCACTATGACTTTGATGGAGCTGGAGCGGTTTGGTGGTGTCTGTTGGATGGAGCCAATGGTTCCTGAATCTCCTTCCGCAAGCTTGGCCATTTCCCACAGCTGCCCGCTCCAAGAAAGTGCAGAGTCAAAAGTGCGAAGTCAGGGGTTTTGGTCTGTCCAAGGACTTTGTAAAGCTTGGGACAAGAGACAGTTCACATTGCATTGAGCTCCCGGGCAGTGCTGGTTGTATTAATCATCACTCACATTGGAGGAGACGGCAAAGCGAATGGGAGCGAGGAGAAGTCGCCCGTGCAATCACACCACACGGGAGCCCATTTGTCTTGCTCCGCATCATGGTTCGCTTTGGTCTGACTTCCGTATCATCCGCCGGAAGCACCAAGCAAGAGCCCGTCTGACAGCAGCAATTTCCGGACCGGTCCCCACAGCAAGGCTATACCTGGACAAGTACAAGTACAAGTCCAATGTCTCCATCAAGACCCCTGTAGCTCCACCCAACTGAAGACGGACCTCGTTTCCCTTTTGGTCCTGGTGCATGAAGCATGGAGTTTATCGAAAAGAGGGCTATCTCGCTTGTAAACCTTCGAATGCTTCTAGAGCTTCCATTGCCCACGCCATTCTTCGCCTACGACGCCATCAAACCGGAATCCTGATCGCCCTGCGGTCAAGTTGTCTTCAACGCGGATCACTGGAGACTCCCGTAGGTACGGATTTCACCACTTTGCAACTTTGCGAGACGTGGAAGTGGGTCATGTAATAATGCAAGGATGATGCGAGGCGAGGCGAGGTGAGGCGACAACGTTCCCAACGGCGCGGAACCCCTGCAATTCCGCAGTCGTCGTCACTATTTTTATATGCTCGTCTTCGCTCCTCCCACGTTACCTCGTACTTTCAATCAAAATCCAGGTGTGATTTGTTTTGCTCGACAAGGGCAAGCGCCACTCCAACAATACGAGCACGAGCACGAGCACGAGCACGAGCAGACCAGTGCTCGTTCGTCAATTGCTCTCGGTACCACCTACCCAACCGACCTTGGTCGACTCGTTATCTCGCCTCTACTCCTCATCCCGTCCCCCCGGTTGGCGAGGGATGCTCAGGTACGTACGAGGAAACACCGAGTATGTATTCGCGTTGTATCAGGCAGGGTCATACTTTCGGCTCCGAGTCGCAATAATGGCCAACAAGCCAAGGTCTACACGAGAGAGAGTGCACTCGGTACCTAGACGAAAGTGGCCGACCTCTTGTGAAATTTTGCAACCTTGCAACTTCGCTTCCGAAGCGATGCGGAGTGGTCTGTCACGCACACTCACTCACTCACGCATGTGCCGTGCCGCTGGGCGATTCGAGGAGTGATGAGTACGAGTACGGGTCCCTGTACCTGTACCTGTACCTTTTTGAGAACTTGGGCGAGGTCCTGCAGGAAATCGATTTCCCCCTAAACTTATCTTCGTGTTTGTGTTGGTGTTTGAAGGCGCAGGCAGGGGATGGGTCACGCGACCTTGATTCGACTATTTGCTCTCTACCGAGTCCTTGGCGAAACGGCGAAGAGGCAAAGGAAACGGAGGGAAACACAATGTGAAATGACAATGATGAAGGGAGGTTTTGGTCGATTGAGCTCTCCTTTTTACCTTTTTCATTCGGATATCCAGATATCTCATCTATCAGTCTGTCTGAGACTTGCTCCGCGTCTGCTTGATTTCGTCGCATCGCATGGCATTGCGCGGTGAAATCCACTTGTTGTCACAGCCCAGTTTTTGTTTTGCTTCTTTCGCGGCCGCCGCCGCTGCTGCTGCTGCCTCGTTCATTCCCACATTTTTGTAATGCACGGCAAACCAATTGAATAAATCACATGACTCGCTAGGTAGGCCCGTGTCCTCCTTCCTCCAAGAAGACATTTCGAGCACAATACTTGTAATTGTAGAGCAAAGCAAAAATAAAGTAAAAAGACAAGCGCGGCAGCAAAAATTGGTTAGAGAGGTTACCTAGTCGTACAAAAAAAATCTCCAAGGAAGGCTCTTCTCCCTTGTCCACCCTGATGAATGGCACAGCACAGCACAGCATGAGATAGCGGATCACTACTCATCGTCGTCGTCGTCATCCACGTATCGAGGTCCTCCTGCTGCAGGGGTGGGCGCGTCAAAGGCGCCGCTGGCGTACGGTGTCGGTGCACTTGCAGCAGGGGTCGGTGCGTCAAACACGGCCAGTCGATTGGCTTTCAACGGCTCGCGGTTTGCGCTCTTTGCGAAACTCGGGGGAGCTGGAGTCGGTGCATCCTGTGGTGCGGTTGCTGATGCGCCTGGGGTCGGGGCGCTGAGATATGGAGTGTATGCCTCGTCGTCGTAGCGGCCAGGTCCAGACGCAGACGGCGTGGGCGCTGAGATTCCCGGAGTCGGCGCATCGTAAGGACGCGCGCCAGGCGTGGGAGCCGACGCTGCAGAACTGCCGGGTCCGCCCCAGGCTGGAGTCCGTGACGACGCCGGGTTATATGCTGGAGTGCGGGAGCCGGCTGCAAAGGCGTCAAAGCCCTGATTACCAGAAGAGCTGAATCCGTGGTCGCCACCGTAGGGAGTCTTTGCGCCGGAGCTCCACGCTGGTGTGCGGGAGCCTGTGTTGGTCGAGTAGTTGCCTGCGCCGCCGTACGAAGTCATGCCACCACCTCCATACGATGTCTGAGAGCCCGAAGCCCCCTTCCACGATGGGGTGCGGCTGGAATCGAGACTCGCAGCTCCAGGACCACTCCAGGCAGGCGTCCTTGACGAGGAGCCCCATGCTGGAGTTCGGCCTCCATCCATGACGCCCATGGGTGTTCGGCCTCCAAAGCCTGCATCGGGAATCCGGGAGCCGGGAACACCAGGTCCTGCTCTGATTGCCGATGGGCCGCCACGCTGCCTGATCCAGTCTTCATATCTTGTCCGGTTCTGCGAGTTGGGGCTGTAGAGTGTCAGCAGAGCAGATGGTACAAAAGACAAAGAACTTACTCAATGATTGACAAATCAAACTTGCTGACATTGATAACCTTGTTCTTCGTTTGAAGTTCAAGTCTTGCTTCGCCAGCTGTCGTGTCTTTGACAAGAGCACGGTGACCTTTGTACGTTCCCTTGTTGATATGCACCAGCTTCCCCTGAAGAGGATCTCGCCCAGGTCGCTGTGGAGGCGGCATGGCCATGTCTGGTCGCTTCATCTGAAGAGCGGGATTCATCTTGGTCAGATCTGTAGTCGGGGCTGTGATGCGCCCACCCTTTGCCGCCGTGGTGATGACATTTGTGCACCGGTTGACCCAGATGCCCGAATTCTCGATCCCGAGCTTGTTGTGGCAAAAGACATACCCTCGGTGGATATGGAGAATCGTTCCAGATTTCCCTTCTCCGCCAGACTCGCGGACCACGTCGCCTATGCGGATCTCTGAACCATTCTTATCCGTCGCGACCGCATTCTTCCGGGCTTCGATCTTCTGGATCTGCGATGGTATCTTTGTCATGACCGAGCCATTCTGATCAAGAATCCGAACCGAATCCCGGTCAGCTCTGATCACACACCCAACCGTCGTGGGATCGACCTGCACCAGTTCTTGCACGTCGAACTTGCTGGTTCCTGCACCACCACTGCCCGAGTCGGTGGCTTCCCGGAGATCTTTGCTAAAGACGGTGATTTCGTCGTTGCTGTTGTTGGTGAGGACCGTGACCTTATCATCCTTGATTCGCAGCACCATTCCCACTTCGTCGCGGTACTTGCTACCACCAATGATCTTGACGTTGTCACCCTCCTTGAAGCGTTTCCGCAGACCCTTGACAGGCACCTCGACGAGCTGGCCGGTCAGTTCGCCCTCGGACACCATAATGGAGACAATGTTGCCATGGACAGCTTCTGTCTTGCCGACGATGCCTCTCTGTTCACCCTCGTAGACCTCGACCTCATCGCCAGGCATATAGTTGCCTTCAGCAGTCGTGTTCCGCAGACTGTGGGCCAGAGTTTCGAGATCAAGCAGCTCGGAGCCGTCGGCGGCGGTTTTGGTGAGCTTTGTGATCTCCTCGAGCTTTGGGTTGACGTTCTCGGTGATGAGATGCTGCAGCTTGAACTCTTTGATCAGAAATCCATTCTCGTAGGTGTCGCCCTTGTAGGTGAAGCTCTTGCCAGTCAGCCCTCGGTTTTGGGTGACAAATCGCTCGTGCCTCTTCTTCGCTTCCAGCTCGTTGAATAGCCTCTGTGGAGGTCGATTTTGAAACGTGTTGATCGGTCCGAATGCATTTGGTCGTTTGCGCTTTGCATCTGCAAGAGCCGGTCGTCCCTGGTCCTCTTCCAAGCCGTAGGAAAGCCTAGGGACCAGGCGGAGTGTCACTTCGAGACCATTGGTTTCGACGTCCTCGATCATGGCCAAGTCGCCCATGTAGAGACCTCGCTTGATGCGCACGTAACCACCGACTTCCAGCTCCTTGTCCTTTCTGGTCCTCAACAAGTCAGGCATTTCCTTCACTGGGACCAGATTCATCTTGGATCGCGGATAGACGTCCGGGACGTTGGTCAGGGCATCTTCGACGTCGCTCTTCTTCAGAGCCTCGACAAAGATGTACCCGGCCATAGGACCATCGCCTCTTTCAAAGACTGAACAGATTTGCAGCTGGTTCCGACCCTTGCTCTCAAAGTATTTCTTCATGATCCGGCTGACAATTTCTCTCTCTTTTCCAGCTTTGCATCGAACTCCCCAGATACTTGGATCGTTGACGTCCGGCATGAGCAGGTTCTGTGGCACAAAGGAACCCTGGCTCAAGGCCGTGGTTGTTCTTCGACCGTACCGCTCTTTGTAAGCGGCCGCCTGCTTCTCCAGATCCATCGACGCCTCGATCTGCCGCTGGCGGTCCAGCTCTCTGTGTCTCGCGTCATCCTGGTCTGCTTCGGGGGGGAGGTCGTCGTCGGGGTGATTCTGCTCGATGAAATCGGGCCCAAGATCGTCCTCCTCGGCTTCGAGTTCATCGTCATCCTCGTCGACTTCGGCTTCTTCTTCGAAGAACTGATTCAGGCCTCGCCGCCGGCGCTTTCTGGGCCGACTGGTGATTGCATCTTCGTCCTCTTCATCGTCTTCATCTTCATCGTCCTCGTCTTCGCCGTGCAGGTCCTCACCCTCGCCTTCGTCATCTTCACCGTTGTCCGCCTGCTCTTCTTGGTCACCATCTTCATCGTCCTCATCCGGTCGCGGTCGTCGATCCTTTCTCGCAGGAGAGGACGATTTGTTACCGTTCGTGGTAGGTGCAGGACGGTCATCGTCTTCGTCTTCGTCGTCATCACCAGCTGCTTTGGCGCCGCGCTCGGTCTTTACATCTGCTTCTTCACCCTCCTCGTCCGACCCGCCCTCGTACCCAGGGTTGAAGTCGTTGTCCGATTCTTCGTCGTCTCCACCAAAGTCCTGGTTCAGCCACGATTGTCCTGAAGCCATCTTGGTTGATCAGGGGCAACGAGTGGCCGCTTCGTGGGGGTCGAGGACTCGGTAGCTGGTCGTAGAGCGACCTTGTAGGAGAATATTAGACAATTCTGGGGTTAAGAAATGGGCGAGGTGATGGTAATTGTTGAGCCCAAAAGAATCCCCCGATGGACAGCGCAGGCGGTTTGGATGCTTGGCGGGAATTCGATATCACGTGACTTTATGGAACTGGTCGCTTATTGGCCGCAACTCAAAGCTGGCTCAATGGATGCTCAGACTTTCAGGTCAACACAGGCAATGCCGGGGGAAGGGGCCGTGTTGGCTTGGAATAATTGATCATCAGACAGCTCAAGCAAGGGACCTATGTGAGGACGGATACGCATTCGCCAACAACAATATGAAGATGACTGATTCATGTCTCTTTTGTGCAAATGCTCACGACTTCAAGATCTGGTACTGCACAATCAGGATCTCGAGCTTTCTGGACTCGCAAATGCTATGCCCGATACCCTCCCATTGTTCTTTTGGGTAGCCTCTTGCTTCTTGTGGCAAGTTCCTTCACCCCGACAGTCAAATTTCAATCCTCCTTTCCTCTGTCTCATTACAACTTCAATCCCAGATTAACGTGCACCGCCTTTGTTTGGGTATATGCCGCCAGGCCAGCCTCGCCGAGCTCTCGTCCGATGCCGCTCTGCTTGACGCCACCAAATGGCACTCTGAAGTCCGAATCGTTTGACGAGTTGATCCAGACCATACCAGCCTCAATCCTGCCCGCCACACGGTGTGCTCGCTCGATGTTGCTGGTAAACAATGCGCTGCCCAGGCCATAAGTCGTGTCATTCGCCATGCGCACCGCATCGTCCTCCGTTTTAAATGATGCAATGACCACAAAGGGGCCGAAGATCTCTTCGCGGTAGATTTTCATGTTGTCTTTGACGCCTGTGAAAACGGTGGGCTCGATAAAGAAACCCTTTCCGTCACCGACGTTCTTGTACGGAACACCTCCGGTTGCCAGGGTCGCGCCTTCCGACTTTCCACTCTCAATGTATCCGAGGACTTTCTCATATTGAGCCTTGGTCACCTGAGGGCCTTGGAACGTATCGTCGGCAAATGGGTCGCCGACCTTGGACGTGGTCTTGACAACCTCTTTGAATAGCTGAACGAATTTGTCGTAGACACCTTCCTGAACAATCACGCGGGAGGTGGCCGTACAGATCTGACCCATGTTTGACATGATGCCAATGTGGGCCCATTTGGCGGCTTGCTCGAGATCGGCATCGTCAAAGACAAGAAGGGGTGATTTGCCGCCAGTCTCCAAGGTGATGTTCTTCATGTTGACGCTGGCTGTCTTCATGATTTGTTTACCTGTGGTGGTGCTGCCAGTAAAGGCAATCTTGTCCACATCCAAATGGGAGGCGAGAGCGTGTCCTGCTTCCCTTCCGAAACCATTCACAATATTGATGACACCAGGAGGGAAGATACCCGGAACGAGACTCGCGAGGTAGAGAATCGACAGGGGCGTCTGCTCCGCGGGCTTGAGAACTACAGTGTTGCCGCATGCGAGAGCCGGTCCCAGTTTCCATGCGGCCATGGCCAGAGGGTAGTTCCAGGGAATGATCTGGCCGCAGACGCCAATGGGCTGCTTGAGGGTGTAGGCAAACTTCTGGGGGTTGGTTGGGATTGTCTCGCCATGAATCTTATCCGCCCATCCCGCATAGTATCGGATGGTGGACACGACCTCGCCCAAGTCCTCGTTCAACGCGACACTGTATGGCTTTCCGTTGTCCCACGTCTCAAGCGTGGCAAGTGTTTCCTTGTTTGCCTCGAGGACGTCTGCGAACTTGTACATGAGGGCGCCGCGGTCCGTGGCAGGGAGATCGCGCCACGAAGGGTCATTGAAGGCTGCACGAGCGGCTTTGACGGCCTTGTCAATGTCATCCGCAGAGGCCGCCTCGACGGAGCAGATTTCCTTTTCGTCCCTGAGCAGATTGTAACGGTCAGTACGAGTTGCAACCCAAAAGCCCAGAGTCCAAAAGGGTGTATAGAGGTCACTCACGAGGGGTTGATGCTGGTGATCTTCTCACCCGAACTCGCCTTGACAAACTCGTTGTTTATGAAAAGACCAGTGGGCAAGGTGATTTTCCGCCCATTGGGCGCAGTCAGCTCGACTTTCAGATCTGCCATCTTGGACAATGACTGGCGGGCAATGGAAAACGGTCGTAGATCAAGATGCCTGTTCACAGAACAATTCCAGGGTGGACAGCGAAGAGAAAAGGACCTCGAAGTCAACAGCAGGAATCTCAGCGAGGACTTGGACATGTAAAAGGACAAAAGTCAAAGGGAGGGGGGAGAAATCCTGTCAAAAAAGATTTGTTATATCTAATCAACCAGGACAGACCCGCGTCAACGCCCTTTACCAGGTGAACAGGCCAATTGACACACGTTGTTGTGTCGACGTTGGAGCCACCCGCAAGCTATTTTTTCGGGACTCGATTGCCTTGTTTGGAGCTGTCCACGCCCACGGCGATCGGCGTGTCGTATTGTCGTAGTAACGGAAAGCACCCAGCAAGTCGCTGAGCTCCGATAAGAGGCCAACAGAAAAGAGGGGAACTGAGGGGCAACGACGATAAAGACTGTACTAGGCTTGTCCGGCTGCGCCTGCCCTTCTTGGCTTCACACCTTCGCACCTGCCTTCACAGGAAAGGAACTTCAGCCTTGCGCACTCATCGTTTTTGCCGAGGTTCGCTCGCCATCTTCCAGGATCAAGGGGCGAGAGGCTGTGGAGGAGGCTGCCGCTGTTCTGGGAGCGCCTTCCTGCAGGCTGCAAGAGCGGAAGGGGAACCAGAGTCCTGGTACTTAGCACACTGTGGGCACCTCTCAAACTCGCAAACTCAATCGACTTCCACGTGAATGGCCAGAGGCTCAAAACAGCAGGCAATGGCGAGACACTTGGCTCCTCCTTCCACTCGTCGATAGACTCTCCTCTATGAAGACACCTCATTGTCCCCACCAGAAATCCAGAGGTCCGGCACGAACAGAAATACCGGACGGAAGGATTCGAAAGAAATCGAGTAGATACAGACACGCCGTGGGGAGAGACGGCTTGTAACCTGATGGCGACCTACAACGCACCTCTGAAGATCTGAGGGTCTTCCAGCCTAGCCGAGTTGTTGACACCTGGCCACCCAGCCAAGGAGCCCGACGGCTCTACACAAGCGCCCGAAAGTGGACAGTAGCAAATGCAGCTTGCTCGTTTGGGAAATGAGCCTGCCTTCATGTAACACTCGCGCATTCGATACGAGCTTTGCACCAGGGAATGCATCCACGGAGCCAAAATCAAATGTGCGGTATCGAAATTCGAGAATTCCTATGTCAGCCCTATCGCTGTGTCTTGCATCATCCTTCCTCAAAGGTAGTCAACACCTGGAAACCCTGACCAGCTTCCAGGTACTCCCAAATGTTGTGAGCACAGCCGTCTTAGTTCAGTGTTGCTCCATTTACAAATTTGTGCATCTCTTTTGCCACTATCCAGGTCCTGTTGTGCCCGGTTGCGCAGGGTCGTTCTTTCACTCCGCCACAGCACTTGTTACCAATGTCCGAATCGCTGCCGTGAAGTTAGTCCGGTTAAAGCGACACGTCGACTTGAATGGCGCCTGTAATTCCTAGGCCTAGAGCTCCTTTCGAAAGTCCATTGACTTTGTCGCCGTCGCTGGCGGCAGTGGTCTCCTCGCCTTCGCCATCAACTTCCGATTCGTAACCTCCCATGACATCCCCATGTCCCAAGGAAATTGACTCTCCAGCCTGATCAAGAATGAATCTCCATTCCTCAGGTGTGACCGCCGAGACGCTGAGCCGACTCTGCTTCAATGTTTGCATATTCTCCAAGGCTCCACCAGGCTTTGCAAACGACTTTAGCTCTTTGAGCGTGACAAGGTTGTCAAACTTCTTGACGAATTCGACGTGGACGAGTTCCCATTTGGGCTTTGCGCGGTCGGACTTGGGATCAAAGTAGGGATGGGCAGGGTCAAACGCCGACTCATCCATGGTATGTTCGCCGACGATCCGCATGACACCTGCAATGCCGGGCGTGGCACAATTGGAATGATAGAAGAATGCCAAGTCGCCCTTGCGCATTGCCCGCATATTGTTTCGAGCCACAGGGTTGCGTACGCCTGCGTTTTTGTCAGGGTTCGTATCACGGATGAACACCAGTACTCACCATCCCACCCCTCAGGCTCCGTCTTGGCAGCCAGGTCGTCGATGGAGAATTTGACATCGTGGCCTTTTTCGATTCGAGACTCGGGTTCGGCCTTCATCAACCAGTATTGTATGTCATGGTCAAGCGCGGCGATCTCGCCAGACTTGTTTGCATCGCCATTGCTCGTTGCGGGGTGTTTCTCTGAATCCGAGGCATCTTCAGACTCGGACTCGGACGATGCATTCTTCACCTTGCGGGCGGCTTTCGCCTTTCTGCCGACCTTGGCGGTTGTTGTCGTCGGAGTAGGCTTCTTCGCACTCGGCTTCTGCTTTGCTGCGCGAGCTGTCCGTGTAGAGGACGTGACGGACGTGGACGTAGTGGAGCCTGTTAACTGAATCAACACCATGCACAACTTCGCGTCAAAGGTGAGCTCGACGGACTTTTAGTTTTTTTTACAGCCGATACCGCTGGCTTCGATTTGACATCTTGTTTCGGCGCAGGGGAGGCTGTAGCCTGGGGTGGTCTCCCTCGCTTCTTCTTCACAATTTCGTCTTTGGCGCCAGCCGCAGCCGCAGCCGCAGCCGCATTCTGATCGCTAGATGAGCTGCGTCTTGTAAAGGTGTACCGGGGCTCACTAACAGAAGACCGCTTGGGGCGACCGGCCGGCGCAGCTGCGGGGTTGTCGGAGATCTCAGAGGTGCCGCCGATGCGGACTTTCTTGGTGGCCGGAGTGCTGGCCGTCGATGAGACTTTGCGCTTCCTGGGAGGCATGATGCTTAAATTCTACAGCGATATGGCAAAAAGTCCGCGAACTGAGTAGAGCGACCGTGCACACGCCGATTTAGATATTTAGCCGAGGCACAGGAAAGAAGGAGAAGACAGTGGTTGTGGAGACAACTGAAGTCCAACCAGACAAAGATCAGAAATGTAAGTTACTGATGAAGGGAAAGAAAAGGCTGTGGATAGACGCGTCGTCGCGTCGTTTGATCACGCCAAGCCAAGCAGATCCAGCCCAATCAGGTTGCTTGCTGGTGTCACCGGTAAGCGAGAACAAAGTGAGAACAAAGTGAAGAAGCACCAAGACATTTGCCATGTTTGATGAGTGTCTATTCAGAAACACAACAATCAATCTCCCTTTGACAGCGTTGGTTTCTATCATTAATCGTCTTTAGAAACCCCTCAACGGCAATGAACTAAGAAAGTTGATACTGGATGTGATCACCAATCTCGACAGACTGCCAATCCTCCCCTAGTACCTCCAAGTTTTCCTTTCGTATGACGAACAGAGACAGAGTTCAGCCTGCTTTCGCGTTGCTGACGCTGTCTGGCACGTAGCGACGGCGACATCCCACGATGACACTTATGCCTCAGGCTTTCAGCAACGATGGACACGGACGTCAAGCCCCGCGGAGTCCGGAGTTGCTTTGATTGCCTGAATAAGCATTCCGCTTCCTCGCACCTCTTTCGCAAAGGTCGGACATATAATCCAACAAACGGTTAATACTCCTCCAATCGGCACTTGTCCTAACTGACAGCAGCAACTCCCTTTTCCATTCAGCCCGATGTCGCGTGACTGCCGACCCTACCCTACGAGGTACCCTCCAAGCGGATCTTTTGTTGTGAAATCATGGTTCGGGAAAGACGCGCAGGATGGGAAGAAAAGAGACCCGACTGCCGGATGAGGGCAGCGGACCTTGTCAGGCTGTCGGGGCCGTTTGTTGCACGCACCGGAACAATTGCTCTTCTCGACGATAGCGCAGCGTCTAATGCATGAGTCGACTGTGAAGAAGGGTGTGACCAAGGCAGAAGAGATATGGGATCGTTTGGACAGGAGCACAAGTTACGAGACGGAAGCCAAGACGAGCGAGGCACGGGGGGGAAGGCAGGGAGGTCACAAGGATACCAACCCCAAGAACCAGGGCAGATACCCTGTCAAGTTCCTGGTGCAGTCAGTTGCCCTTTTTGGATCTAGCTGGCAAAAAGAATTGTCCGAAGGAACGGTCGGATTGGATTTTAAAGCCCATCAACGGCCCCCCATGAACTTTTGCGTAGGTACCCAACCCGTCCCTGCAAGCCACGTGTTGATTTCCCCCGTCCCCTTGCAGATGATCTGATGTCGTGGCTTTTTTTGTTCTTGTTCTTTGCCCACACCCCTCCCTTGTCTCTCGAGTGTGTTGCTTTCCCACCCCCCTCTTTCTCTCAAAGGACATTGGTCCAGGTCGTGAGACTACCTCCAACCAAAGATGAGGACCAAGTCACCTCTAGGATGCTATTGCCCAGTAGGTGCGAAGCGAGGGGGTTTGAGAGCGGGGGTGGTTCAGAAAGCACGCAATCAGCAAACCATCAAGTAACAAAGGTGCGCTTGCTGCCTGGTCAACTACGACTAGCACGACGGAGACGGGACGTAACGAATTCGTCAAGAAAGGAGAATAGGAGATCCTTTCCCAGACCTTGTAAAGCCCAGTCGCCGCCTCCTCTACCGAGTACTTGTACAGGAATGTCACCTGCAGCTCGACTGCATGCCATCACGCAAATCACCTGCCTTTGCCTTCTGCCTCCTGATTCAGCCACCAGCTTGCTCTGACCAGGGAGATGGTTGTATTCGCCTGCCTCGCCTCCCCGCAATGATCGCCTCTTTGAACTCTCTCCCGTTACCAGGTGCTCCATCTGTCTGGTTTGGTTTGCTTGTTCGCGAGGGCGGAAAAGGGGGCCAAAGTGACATCAACACTCTCTCACCCATCACCACCCATCGCTTGCAGACCAGAGTGATTACTGGCAGCATTGGGTCGCAGGGGCTGGCCAGTATTGGTAGTGGTGGTGGTAGTGGTGGAGAAGTTCGATGCCACTACCATCATCACCACCACCTCCACCACCATCATCGTTTTGTAGGTATCATCACCCGCCAACCACGTGTTGTTTGCAACTCGGGGAACCACCAACCACCCTCTCGGACTCCCTCATCCCTGATCCCTGCTCCCTGCTCTCC